AGGCAACCTCTAACAGCAAGTAAACAGGCTATGCACACTATAAAAAATGGGTATGTTGTTCTTGACACTAAATTATTTTGCCATTGGTGTGAGAGGTGAATGCTGTTTTAAAAGAAGAGGCCCGGCATGGTCAGATGGTTAGGGTGTTTGACTCACAATATGTGGGCCATGGGTTTGAATCCCCATCCCACCAAACATGCTCACCATTTTAGTTGTAGGGGCATTATAATGTGATGGTTAATCCCACTATTCATTGGTAAAAGAGTAGCCCAAGAGTTGGTGATAGGTGGTGATGACTAGCTGCCTTCCCTCTAGTCTTTCACTGCTAAATTAGGGATGACTAGTGCAGATAGCCCTAGAGCTTCTTTGCATGAAATTCGAAAACAAGCAAAACCAAACTAAATTATTTATTCAGAACTTCTCTAGGAATAAACTTAATGTTTGTGAACATGCAAATAGAATGTATTAATTAAAGCTTTTGCCTCATTATGTTTCTTTGAATAATGTTTACCTATTGAAATAGGAATTCCTAAAGATGCTAGGTTATGTTCACAAATATACTTACTGGTGTTAATTTGAAGTGGTCACTACTTATGGAAATGTTGAAAAGGATGTTTTGTTTAGCATAGATGTACATTGACATAGGAAATACCAAGTTGATGCCTTGCTGTATATTTGACAAATATGTGCTTTACTAAATGTGAGTTACTTAGATGTCACTGCTCAATTGAGTGTTCTCATTTGACAAAATATATGGGCATATGTTTCCTCAACTTATAATTTACAACATAACTGTTACTTGACACATTTTATGTAAGACTAGCTTATGTACATGTACATGAGGAAAACATAGAGACCTCTTGGGATAACATAAGGATGTCAGATATAAGGATACTCCCCCCCTCCCAGTGTCAGTTCTTGGGGGCACCTTAGGATACATGTCAGGTTTGGTGACAATCAATCCAGTGGTGTGTCAACTATAAACAGACACATACAGACTTTTGTCAACTAATGGTATTTTCACATGATATATGAAACATGTAAACTACTAATAACACTCATTTTTTAAATTTTCAAACTATCAACTGTAAAATTTGGATCTAGAATCTCTTTGCAATAATATTCCTTTGGAAGCAACCTTAAAACTAACAGCTGTTGTATGATATAAAAATGAAGATGTAAGATTCTTGTAGTATGTTTTTCAGAAACTACCAGATTTTGCAACCAAGGAATCTAATTTTGTTTTTGCTTATAATGTATATGATCAAACTGATGGAATTACAATAAAATCAAGACTAGTATCATCACTTACAAGATTGGTTCAGCCAGGAGACTATTAGTAGTAGTATGACTTAGTACTTTAATTATGTCAGATATTGTAGTCATTTTGAAAGTATTTTAAACTATCTGATGATGAACTTTGAAGAAGTTCAAAAGCTTGCATGGTATATTCAGATCATAAATTAAAAGTAAGTTGTCTAGGTTAGTAGTATTCAATGTTTGAAGAGCCTCCCTGAGGTGGCAACGAATAATCTTTGTACACATTATTTAACTTAGTATCTTTTCATCAAGCACTACAAAAAAGAGAAATACAGATAGTTTGGGACCAGTCCTAGTAGAAAAAAATACAAGTAAAGAGATCATGAATATACATAGTTGTAGAAATACTTGATTTGCTAATTTGTACTCAATTTGGTCAGTATAAACTTTCAATTAGACATCTAAATATCTTAAGTGGTTAACACCTATAGCTCCTTTAATAATTTCAAACAAAATAAAATTGAATAATATAAATTCAGTATTTGAAGTATTTACATGCAAATTTGAGGTTAACAGACAAGTAAATAATGAGCACACAATATTAAAATTTCCAACATAAACAAATAATGAACTAATAAATAATTCAAGTATCCAAACATTTAAAAATAAAGTGATATATATATATTAAAAAATATTAACTTAATCATAAACTAGTCACTCATCTTGCCAAGAAATTAAGCAGAAAACTTAGTTATACTCATTAGCAAAATAATATCAACCTCTGGAGTTAGATATGACATAGACTTATAAAATAATTTAAATAGACTTAAGGATTATATAAAATACACTTAAAATAATTCTTAACTGAATATCAGTCCTTTAATAGATTTATCTCAAGTAATCTAGTTACTTGTTCCACTTTCTTACAATTTTGTAAGTTGTAAATTCATTTTATATTTGTTAAAATGTACATTAGTTGAAGCACATCTCATCAACTAAAATATAATTACATTACAGAAATTAATATTAGTATCATATCTAATTTTTTTGTTCCAAATTACTTTAAAAGTTAATATTAGAATATGTAATTGGTCAATGTTAAAAATATCTAAAATTTCAGTAAGGTATAAAGTGCTAAAAGTTATTGAACAAAGTAATTAGTATAACTATTTTCTCTTTTAAAATGTGAATTTTTTGTCACAAGTTTATAAAAATTGTTACTTCAGACTTTATTTATATTTGCCAAATAAAGGTATATAAAGCTACAATAAATAGACAACTTCATAGTTAAATTTTTAATCTACATGTTTTTTTATTTAATGAACTGATTGCTTTGTATGCTTGAGTGTATCTATTGATATATATATATATATGTACAAAATATATTAATAAAACATCAGGTAAGTGAAAATACTTTCTTCCCTTGATGACAGCTTGTGTATGTTTTGGTATTGATTAAGATAAGGCATTTTTGAATTTCTTTATTAGCTTGATTAACTATACTGATTGGTCACTTTATTAGAACCTCTCACATACACTTGTTGAACATATTATGTATTTGAATATGCACAAAAAATTGTCTTATAATGTTTCAAGTGATTGCCTGAATTCAATAAATGAAGAGATGTAATAATCATCTTATGATTAGTATTCAAGACAATGTATATGAGAAAGGAACTCTCCAAACCCAAACTTTTTTTTCTCACATAAAAGATATAAACCCACTTTTCTAGACCAGTTTTGCATGCTGATTCCAAATCTGTTTTTCTTCTAACACAGCTAGTTATAGAAATATGACTAGTATTATTTTCAGCACAGTTTAGGTAATAATCACATATTAGGCTAGTTAGCATTACAACTTTATTCATTTTTCAGTAAGATTCCCATAAACATTATACACACCATACACTTGGTTAAATTTAAATATACAGTACACACTTATGAAAAAAGAATGTAGATGTAGGCCTAAAGTATATCTACTAGAATCTAATCTAGGTAGCCTGGCTAGATCTAGCCTAATAGATCGACTCTCCTGAGGCTAATTTGGGCTATATCGCCAACTGGCTGGCCCAGTATAGACTGAGCACACATTGTTTCCTTAATAGTTATTATGCAAAAACATTAATTTTACAAAAAGTAGTCTTACATGGAAATGAGAAAATTGTTTTTAAATAATAAGCCTTTTTTGGAAACATTAAAAAGAAAAGCTGTTTAAAAAGTAGGGTCATTTATGGAACTCTTCCCAAACTGCTGAGCCTTTCACGATAGCTAAGCTCAAAAGCATACTTGCTATTAACCAATATTTAGTTAGTCCCCCACAATTCCATGGTTAATGTGTTTAATAATTTTTTTCCTCCTTTTAATTATTAGTACTATAGCATTCTTCTTTGAGAGACATATCTTTTTACTTTGTAAAACATACAAAATTACTTTTTTTTTAGAATCCAGCAATGAGCAAGAAAATATCAAAGATGATATTCAGTCTACCAGCAAATCAAATACTAGTGAAGATTCACAGTCTCAGCAGAATCATCATAAAGACTTAGAACAGCAAAATGATGGTCAGTCAAAAACACAGAGTGCTGATTTATCAGTGTTAGCTGACTCGTGTACATTTTATAATGAGGATGAAACACAATATCCAAATAGTGAAAACAATAACAGTGAAGGTTAGTTATTGAACCTTGTACATTTTTAAAAATGATACATTGTTTGAATATTTCGATTTTCTGATCTGTTACTTCATTGTCCATGTTTTTTATGAGTAGTATGCTGAAACATCAAATAAAGCTATGACATGATAGTTGAAAACTAACTAAATTTAAGAATCTGTATAGATTGAACTGTAAATTACTCTGGTACTTTCATACCTTGGAATTAATAAATTTTGTTTTATTTATATACTGTATATATATTTTACATATTATCTGTGCATTTATAAGTAAGCTTGAAAAGAAAGGACAAAGAGAAATTAGAATATTTCATAAGCAATAACTTTAGAGTTGAAATTGGATAAACAAATTAAATTTTCAGTATTAACTGTAACTGAATAAATCAATTTATAATTTTAATAAAAGAGATGAAAAGATTTTTCATAGAAACAACATTAAAATATATATTCATAACTTAGTCAGTGAACAAATATCACATTAGAGCATATGATATGTTTACAATTGAGCAAAGATAACCTTAAGATAGAACAACAACAGCTCACTTACAGAGGTGAAAATATAAGTATTCAGTTTAAAATTAAACGGATTAAATTTCTATGTATATATTTTATGTTTCATACACAAAGTATATATTTTAATAACATTTCATGGAATCAGCTTCATAACATATGATCTAGTATTCAGTCTGACACAGCATTGCATTGTCATATGTTGTCAAGATACGTGTCGCTAAATCAGATGGGAAAGATGCACATCCAATGCATAATTGAACCTGCCAAATGGTGTAGAGTGACTAGGGCACATTTAACCACAGTTGGTGGGTCAACACCAGTCTAAAACCAGGTGGTATCGGGTATTTATCATCTGGTCTGTGATAGGATGAGGGTCTCTATTGTCTTTACTTCAAGACTAGGAAGCAGAAGGGAAAACACCTCCATCCTGCCATCCTAGTCAGGGCACAGGTGTGCAGACCTAGTACACAACCAACTCCAAGTCACCAGGTAATCCAAAATCTGAATGACAGTAGGAAGGGGGAATGCAATGTGGTGGGTCAATTACAGTCCAAAACCTGGCAGCCTTGGGAATTTATCTTTCAGTCCACAGTAGGAGGAGGGCCCTACCAACAACATGTGTGGTGACTTATGTTGGTTGGTCCTGCTCTAATCCAACACCAGACCACCTGGAATTGATATCCAGATGATGTTATGGTGAGGAATCTCAGCTGGAGGGGTGAACTGTATTGGTGGATCATCTCCAGTAAAATACCAGGCAGCATCAAAAATGTTTCTTCTGATCTGTGGCAGGAGGAGCCTTTCATGTCATCTACACAAAACACCACCACTATACTCTCAACTGAGTGGAATTGAGGAGGGTGTCTCCATGGTCCACCACTCCAAGAGCTGGTTAGAGGCAAGGACTCCTGTACTCCACTCGAAGGGGTGGGGAACAATGTAGTGAGAAGTCTGGGGGAACATACAATAGTGAAAGTGCAGTTGGTGACCATGAAGCCCTATTTTTAAAAGCAAGCTGGTCCCAACTTATTCAACCAGAATTAGAGTTGGTATGGTCTGGGATGGACTTTAGTTAGGAAGCAAAACACTGTGAGGAAACCTCTCGTGATCTTGTGGAATGTTCCATCTCAACAGTAGGCATTATAGACTGGCTGTACAGTGCAGATTTATGGATAAGTATACCTGCATAGGCATCACTTGCCACAGAGTGGGATCCAATGAGGATTGGAAGTTGGCTAATATTACTTCTCATTTCAAGGGAGGTGATAAAAATTGTCCCAGTAATTATAGTCCTATTAATCTTACATCAGTTGTGGGAAAAGGTTTGGAAAATCTGATAAAAGATGCTTAGCAAAGTCATTTAATGAAGTTTAGAATTTTATTGGATAGTCAACATGGGAAAATCTTGCCTTAAAAATCTTTGAAATTCTTTGAAAAGGTTACGGTTTATGTAGATTACGGTAAGGATGCCACATAAAAGGCTTGTAAAAAACACTATCTCTATAGGTGTGTGGGATAAGTTAACTAATTGGATACAAGAGTGGTTTGATGGATGAAAGCAGAATGTTGTTATAAGTGGAGTTCAGTCAAACTGGATTAATATCACAAGCGGAGTACCTCAGGGCTCAGTGATATAGATGAAAGAATGGTCAATAAATTATTTAAATTTGCAGATGATATTAAGGTTTTGGATGTTGCTAGCTCTGAAGACGATATTGCTGCTTTACAAAAAGTATTTAGATCATTCAGTGAGTTGGAAAATAAATGGCAGATGGGTCTTAATTATAATAAATGCAAGATAATGCATGTGGGTTATCATAATTTGAGTTATAAGTATAATTTGTGTGGGAATAATATTAACAGTATTGTGAAAGAAAGGGATCTTGGTGTAATGGTTGATCAGTCTTTTAAGCCATCCAAGCAGTGTGATGTTTATAGTGGTAGGGTAAACAGGATTTTAGGTTGTATCTATTAAGGTTTATTTTCATTGTATAGGTCATTGGTTAGGTCATATTTGAAGTACACTATCCTGCTAAAAGTCATGGGACACACCGCTAATTGCAGGAAAATGGGTGTGATGACAAAATATGCAAATAGTTTGGCCTATAAAGGTGATCATTGGTTCGCTTGGAAGCCATTTCAAACTTGTACACCGAATGATGAGTACATGGAAAGAGCTAACAGAGTTTCAGAGGGGAAGGATAGTTGGATGTCATTTGGGGAAAATGTCTGTACATTCTGTTGCATAACAATTAAACATTCCCAGGTCTACAACTGGCAATATACTGAAAAAATGGAAGACCAAGAAATGACCAGATAGGAGTAAAATACTGACTAACAGGAACTGATGCACCTTGAGAAGGCTGGTTACCTCATCTTGCCATCAGACCCTAGAGAATCTGTGTTTGGAGATGCAAGCAGCCACAGGCGATCCTATAAGTGTTTCCACAACACGTCGAGAGCTGCATGTCATGAATTTTCATGGAAGAGCTGCAGCCCACAAGCCGTTGATAACAAAACAAATGCATGCTGTAGATTGGCATGGGGCAAGGCACACCGAACCTGGACTGTGGATCAATGGAAATTGGTGCTGTAGAGCACCGAGTCAAGCTATATGCTCTTCCAGTCTGATGGATCTGTTTGGATATGGAGGATACCTGGAGAATGCTTATTACTTGAGTGTGTTGTCCCAACAATGAAGTTTGGAAGTGGCAGTATCAAGATCTGGGAATGCTTCTCGTGGTATGGACTAGGTCCACTTGTCACAGTGTATTGATTGATGTTCTGAACAATTCTGTGTGTCCTGCATTGTGGCAATTTTATGGTACCAGCCCTTACACCTTCCAACATGATAATGATTCATGACACAAAGCAAGGATTGTAAATACGTGGTTTGAAGAGAATAACATTAGAACATTGCAGTGGCCAGCACAGAGCCCCGACCTCATCTCGATAGAACATCTTTGGGATGAACTGTAAAGCAGAATTAGGGCAAGGCCAAGATGGCCCTCTTCAGTAGTAGAGCTTACTAATGCTTTAAAGGAGGAGTGAAGTACAATACCACCAGCTTTCTACCAGAAATTAATAGACAGTCTTCCATGATGCATTGAAGCAGTCATTAAGGCCAGAGGTGGGCAAACACACTATTAATTTCTTGGAATAAAGACATGTTTTATTTATAACTACCCATGTTCCATGACTTTTGGTAGGATAGTTTATTTTGATCAGTCTTGGACTCGTTACCTTAGGAAGGAATATTGCCTTTTTTCTCTTGAAAAAAAAAGAAGAGTTTGAGGGGATCTGATTGAGGTGTCTAAGATTGTAAAGGGAATTCACAGTGTTGATGCATTATCTCTTTTCATACTTAATTGCAAGAATAGAAGGAATTTTGGCAAGATAGAACTCATCTTCAGCTCAGACAGTTTTATTTGCCTACAGGGTGGTTGGCCTCTGAAATGGGTTGACTTTGGATGCTGTAGAAGCAGTAAATTTAAGTGAGTTTAAGAGAAGGCTTGATAACTATATAAATGATAAGAGCTGGCTTTCAGATTTTTTTGTAATTTATTCATTTAGTAGTTTTAGTTTAGAGGATGGAACCAGTGAGTCCCTTGTTGTCACTAAACATTATGTTATGTTATGCTAGTTTGGAATTGTGGTGGATGGCAAATGCATCCAGAAGTTGAGTACCCCTTAGGGGGTGCACAACCACAGAAACACCTGAGGATGTAGGGATCACTCCATGGAGCACATTTTGTCAGGATGAGATGAGCATTCTGCAACAAGATTCAGAGCAGCTGGGACATGACATGCCAGCAGGTATATGTGAATGGTCCAAGAAGACAAGTTCTAACGTTTGAAAACAAAGCAGACTTGAACAGGTACCCCCCATGTCAATTGATGTAAGAGACGATGGTCAAATTGTTGGAATGGATTCTGACCAATTTATCTCATATCAAGGTAAAAGATAATCCAAATCTTGATGAGTGGCAAGTAGCTCCAGAAGATTTATGTACAGAGCTGATTTGACCAAAGACCAATGACCTGCGATCTCCTGGAAATCCATAAACACCCCCAACTTGTCTGGGAAGCATCTGTAAAAAGATGCAACTCGGGATGGGGAGGCAGAACAGGAATGCCAGCCATGGTGTTGTCCCTATCAAGCCACCAGGTGAAATTGACGTGTAGTGAGGGAAGGAGAAGGATAACGGAGCTCACGGGATCCTGAGCAAGATTCCAGTGATCATGCAACACCAACTGAAGAGTGCACATGTGAGCATGACCCAAGGGTTTGAGAGCTTCCATGCAAGTTCAAGTTCCCATGCAGTGCAGTGAGAGAAAGAGAGGATTGAGCTTTGAGAACACATGTGAAAATTAGACATCTGGACTCTAGTATGCCAAATTGAGAAGTGAAGATTGAGTTCTACAGTATAGAGGGAGTCAGTTGCACCAGGAGGGTGTGTTGCACTCCTATTGGTGGAGGGTTGTTGCATGCTTATTTGCCTCTTACAGCACAGGTATACCACGTGTAAATACTTTGGGATAGATTGGAGTATCAGGGCTAGTGGTGAGCAAAAATTATGCATATAGAGGGCAGCTCTGCATAAGAAAAGCTATTATGCGAGAGAGGTGAGGTATCTTATCAGAAGTGTAAGTATGTACACTGCATTTTTTTTTGTTTGTCAAATAATAAAGATTGTTTTTATTTTTATCAACTTTGTCCAGCTTCATTATCTTACACACACTAGGAAGACTCAGGTTATCTGCTTCAGAATCACTCTCCTTATTTCCTAGAAAAAAAAAACTAGTTATTAGCAGGTTTGTCTATTTGATACTTGTTGGGAAATCAGCTTTTACCTGAAAATACAACAGCAAGTCTATTAAATTTTTCTTTAAATATGTTGGAAGCTTAGTAAATTTGCAGAAAATATTTTTATTTATAACTTCATAAATTTTAATGATACACTTATGCTTTTGCTTTAGAGAATGAGTAGTGCAGGTTTTTAACATAAGAGAAATTTGCATACTAAGACATCCAATAGTTTAAAGTAAACTCTTAAAATCAACAAATTATTTATAGCTCAAATTAACACAGTTTGGGATGATGTTAACTGGTTCATTTGATATTCTGGTTTTAGTATTTGCCTTTGTTACTGGAGTGTTATATAAAGCTCTTAAATATCATTTCATATATATAATGACTGATAGGTTGAAACTTATTTTCTACAAAGACCAGTTTTATGGACTTTGAATTTCTTTATTCTTTTTTACATAACATAACTTCTAAAACATGTATAATTATAGAGTTAAATGTCTGTTAAAGCTGGTAAAACACAAAAACATAAAATAAATGATGGAGCATTAATCAAGACTTTAGTAATTTTATTGTTATCTGTATCACTTATGTTTTAACTAACCCCTGTAATAAACTGACCAAGAAATATGTAGAAGAAAGTATCTTTAGTCTTAAGTGATGTTTCTTGACAATGATAAACTTATATGAGTTGTATATTTTGTCACCTTGATCATTTAACACTCAAAAACTTTGTGCAGCTAACTTTAATATAGTTTTTGCAATTATTTCTTGACTGCCAGAAGTTTAACCTTAATGATAATTTGAGGAATTAAACTATTGGGTTTTGATTTGTGGCAGACAAAAGGTTGATCTGAATTTTTAGTTCTTTACACAACTTTGATTTGAAATTTCTAATGAAATAATTTGTGAGGGAAACATTTGTTGTTTTGTACTTTGAAATATTAATAAACACGTATGTACGTATAACTTTTAGGTGCTTTGATGATATATTCAAATTACCAATCAACACAAAAAGAGTACACAAAAGTAGGGTGGTTTTATGGAATGTGTTTTCATATCTAGCTTATCATAAGTTGATAAGATTAGACAGTTTGATTTTAAGTATGTTCTAACATAAACTAATACTTTTGAGAAAGTATTTATTAAACTAATAGACATTAAATCATATAATTGAGAACTAATTTGCCTAAACAATTTTTTTTTCTTTAGTGACATGATCTTGAGAAGAAGAGATCTAAAGCCAGTTTCATCAATCTTTCATCACTGATACAGAGAAAAAGAGCTTAGAAAAGCATTTATTTACTAAGTTTTGTTTATTTCTTTGCAGCATATAGTGTCAGACAGGAATGAATAATTCATCAGTACTTAAATTGTAAGTCCAAGTCAGTGTTTGATATAATTCTTGTTTTAAATCAGATTTGGAAAATCTTAAAAATCTAGTTTCTTGTAAGTTTGAACAGTGGACGATAATAACTGTGGTTTTGTTTTTATCTTATTTAGTATAATCATTTGTGTGATGATAGTAGGTGAAAACACCTCTGGTATGTTTGTTATATGAGTGATTTTTACTTTTGTTCAAACTGTTTGTAGTTAATTTTCAAAAAACAAACTGTACAGCTTTGTATGTAAATTAATTTTGCTTTTGTACAGTTCATAATGCTTGACTTAATCAAATGAGAAGCATGTATAACTACCTTCTTTGCAGAAAATATGATATACTAAAATAAACAAGCTTGGATGTAATTATTTTATGTTTCAAAAAGAAGGAGCTCTTTAGTGTAGTAAAAAGTAGAAAAGCTAGTTACACTGTGTTATGATGGAATTGTAGAATTTCTGTTACTTTCAGTTGTACCTAATTGTTAATTTTTGGCAAGTGAATATAGATTATTATTGAATATCTGTATAAATGTATATGATTTTATTTGGAGGTCACAAGTAATTTCATTTTTTCTCACTCTTATTATTTTTCTGCTTAGACACTTTGAAATTAGAACTGTTATTTTTCTGTTAAGAAAATATATATATATTTTTAATTTACAAAGAATGTTTTACTAGGTAGAAGCTTGGAACTTGTACAGTTTATTGTACATTTCTCTCTTTACAGATTAAGAATATTTTCCCAATACATATATTTTTTATCAGAAAATTGCTCATCTTTGGTTTTCTTACTTACTAGAAACATATTTATAATAATTTTTTTAAGTTGACTTTCAATTCTATTAACATTTTGGTGATTTGACAAACTAGAAACGTTATTTTCAGAAATAACATTGATGAAATCATCAGAATTTAGATTTATAGATAAGAAAAATGAATAATGAAATACAATCTAATTATTAGTAGCAAGATCCAACTAAATACATCAGAAATTGTAATTAAACAACATTACTCTTTTCACCTGTGTAGAGCGTACAAATGTGAATCATAAAGCACAGAAACTGCCATGCAATTATTTTTCAAATCATATTAAAGGTTGTCTGGGTGGATTTTAACCACTGTTGGCACACACAAATTGTACAAAATATTTTATACCCAAAAACTCAATCAGTAGTTAGTAGTCACTGAGATGTTTGCTAGGTGACCAAAAACTCTTAATAGAACAAGTTTACTTATTTTGATAAGCATGCATCAAAACCAGAAATGTAAAAAGGTTTCAGAAAATAAGTCTGAAATTAATTTTAAAAATCTTCAATTCCACCCAATGGTCAAAGTAACGTTAGTTTTCTAATTTTTATACTACAGATAATTGGAATGTTACTGTTTCAAAACTATTACTATTTTCAATATCTGATTAATAGTTATATTATTCTGATACTCAAATGAAATACAGAATAATTTTTACTTTAATTTTTTTTTGTATAATACATATGCTTGTTTTTACTTGACCTATTCCTGTTCCAATATATAAACTTCACTAATACTGTTATTGTGAATTTCTACCTCTGTATAAAATGTGTCTATAACTTTTCCTGGTAATACAGAATAAGAACAATTTGATATGTAACATTTTTTTCTAACATCAGTATCTTTGTTTTTACTTCCCATGGGTATTTACTATGGGATGACTATAAGTATTAAAGAGAAGCATAACACTTCACAAATGATACCTTGAAAATAGTAGTCTCCTAGTCGATGAATACCTTTACATCATTTCAGTCAACAGAACAGATCTTTATCTGAAACGTAAATCATAAATTTCTTAACTTTATTACAATTATGTACAAATACATAGTTTATACTTGGAAATAAATGTTCAAAACTTTGACTTGCTTGTAAATATGCAGTAAAGGGCAAAGAGTGTTATGAATGTTAATGTTAGATTTAAAATTCCATATATCAAGTTACTGATGTTTTTAACATTTTTCATTGTCGAACAATAAAGTGAAGACACTTATTTTTACCGTATATGATTGATAGTTAGGACACACTTATACATTAATCTATTCAACTTAAACTTTCTTCATGTATTGCAAGTTTTTGTTACTCTGCGCTAAAACAATTGGTCAGAAAGTTATCAAACGAAATTTTGCATATCTCTTGGGCATCCTGGAGAAAACGTTTGTTATTTTTAATTTCCTTGAAAGATGTTACCCAGGTTGTTACGAAACATAGAAAACATGAAAGAAACACAAATCTAGCATATATTCATGTCAAATAAATAAAGCTCATAACATTTTATACAACATTGTTTAGTTGCCTGTAGTCTGTGTCACGTTAGTTAGAGAGCTGTACTGTAGTTTATTAATTTTGATAGTTGGAATCTATCCAGGTTTTATATCCTTTACTAGGCTTGATCAGGATCTGTCTCATTTTGAAGAAACTAATTTTCTTATTATATAACCATTTGATTTTACCACTTTTGAATTGAGTACTTATGTCAAGTTATGATAGGCAGCTTATTTCACAGCCTATACACTAATGGCTCTTCAAATCAACATCTCAAAAGCACGCTTGTTATAGGTTAAGGTAATGGGAAAGTCCAGTTGTTTTGTATAGAAAATATAATAATTTTACTATCGTATTTAGGAACAAAAGTTGACTTTGGCTATGAATATGATATTCAGTTGAATGTATATTTTGAAACTAAATGAAAGTTTGAATGGTATACATTTTAGAAAACATAAGCTAAACTAGAAGACTTACCCTGTCACAAATATGTAAAACACGAGAAAGGTGTTTATATATGAAATAAGTAAATGATTTAATGTTGCAAAGTGAAAACAATTTACTACTATAATATTAAAATGCACACAATTTAAGATACATAAAATTATTCTAATTTTACTGTGAAACAAACTTTTTTGCAAATTAAGTACTATCCTCCATGATCTTTTGACAATTTACGAATAATTGAAATTCAGACCTAGAAAGAAATTTTGTTAAAATTAAAGTGAATGTTTGGAAATTTATATTTTTGATTATGTATATATATATGTGTGTGTGGGTGTACATGTATATATGCATAATTATGCATACCAGTGAATATTTCTATTTCAAACAGCACATTATAAAAAAAAAAATTGTTATTATTGTATAAGATGGTCACAGCTTGAATGATTGAATTACCATAAATTTATTCCATAAAAAATAAAGTAAAATAACATTTACAATTTTGAAAACAGCTATCTGCATAACATGTATATTAATAAAATTAAAGAATTTTTTATTTTTGGTTGAAACCCGGTGTTCTGGTATGTTAATTATTATTAATTCATGTCTGGTCTTGTTTTAAGTATACTGTGTAAGCAGCTTGAATAGAATGTTTTTGAATAAATTATTGATATAATATGCAACGTATATGTATGTTTCTTATCTGGTATTTTCAGGTAGAAACTGATTTTCTGATAAGTATAGATAGATCTGCTAATAAAAACAAATTAATTCAGGAAATAAGGAGAGTAGTCTGTTTTTGATAACTTGATAGAGTTTTCCTAGTGTGTGTAAAATAATGAGACTGGATGACTTTAGAAAAATTAACACAATCTTTATTATGAAACAAACCAAAAATAAAATACAGCGTACATGCTTGCGCACGTAAAAAGAGGGTCACTTCTACTGGAATTACTAATGGTACAATTATTCAGACTATTATTCTTGTCTTTATTATATGTATTATTATTATTTTCCCATCATTTGAACCAGTGAATTTTCTGGCCACCATCAGGTGTTATATTGGACATTTTTTTTGTATGCATCACAACCAGAAAGATTTTGTAGAATTACCAGGATTCAAACCCCTGAACCTGTGATCCCAAATATGGGCACTCTAACCACTTGGCTATCAGGAAGTCGAAATGTTGTGAAAATAATAATACACATAATAAAGACGAGAATAATAGTCCAAATAATTATACCATTAGTAATACTAACACCTCGTCTCAATCATTCCACAAAACTACTTCTACTGGAACTTAAGTAGCTCCACAGCTTTCTTTATCTCATGACAGACAGAATAAACATTATCCATTGTAAAGAATGAAGAAACAAAGCAACTAGAATAAGGCAATATCAATGTCTTTCTCTTCCACATTTTTATACTAAAACTGCATAAAAAATACACAAACGAAAAATTGTAAACATTCTTATATAACTCAAGCAGGTTGAAAACATATGATATGCCTGCATATCACTTTTTCCCTTCTTTCTCTATTTCAGGTTTGTCCTTAAGCTGATAATTAAAATTAACTTTAAAATCAATAACATTTAAATTTGCTTCACGATCAAGGAGTACGTTAACTTTATTCTAAAATCACATACATGCCACGAGAACATCACAATCCCATCAACAATGGATCACACTAATGTACAAAAGCACAACTTCTTAATACATTTAAAAAGGATCACAACATCAGAATCAACAAATAAAAAAGTCTTTATTCATGCTTTAAAAATACACGACAATGCATTATAAGATAATGAAATCCTATAGCTTTAACCTTTAAATGTATTAAATAATGGCAATAAAATGTTAACTTTGTACTCTTTTTGAAAATGAAATAGAACGCAATGTAATATACTTTATTAAATAAAACCTTTTAATTATAGCTTAATGTAAAAGTACTTCTATAAAAGAAGAAACATTTAGTGAACTAAATCATAAAAATACAAAACACAACTGAACAGGATCCCTCACAAGAATTAAATGATGAACTATGCAAATAAACAATTACAAGAATAAACTCTTTAACTTAAGAAAACATGATATACACTTTAGTGTATATAAAGTAACATGAAAGTTCATACTTACAATCACAAAAAGTAAGTTTAAAGAAG